CAGGAGACAGAGGAGCCACTTCTGTGATTGCCAGGAAGAGTAGGACGCTGGTGGCATGGTGGTGTATGAGTGGACAGGCCAGTTTGGGGGGCTGGAGTTGTATTAGTTGCAGCTGGGACTGGGGTATTCGTAAATGAATATGAATATGCCCATCCCTGAATCTGATTAATACTTTACTTTGAAAATTTGAGGAAAGCATAATGGCATTTTGACCTAGGTATTAGTCTAGAAAGGGAAAATCTAATTGGTTCATTTAATCATACAGTATATGCATCATTTGTGATTTCTTGAATGTACAGTCTTCTCAAATTTTGGATTATCATAAATTCTTGGTGGATCCATTATGAGGGGGCATGAGGAATGCTGAGTTAGCTGAAGGCTTAGGGTGTGATCACATGGTGAAGTAGGTTGCAATGTGAACCACTTGTCAAGTGGCTCAGTGTGGTCAATTTCCCAGAGAGCACAGTATGTATGGGAAAATGTACTTTAGCCTGACCTCAATTTGTGCCCTGTATAGGGCTCCTACTTAGGGAAAGCTTGAGCATTCACCAGTATACAGAATAGCCTCCTTATGGGAGATTGCTATTAAAGGAATCCTTTTCAGTGTGATCTGGCCTGTGCCTTCACAGCCTCATTCTCTGTTGTCCCATTCTCCAGAACTTTCTCAGTTAACAAACAGTGATATGCTTTCCCAGACATTTCCTGATGTGAATGCAGTGTACATGAAAAACAATCCTTAACTGTGTGTGTGTGTACACACAAGTGGCTCAGTGTGGTCAATTTCCCAGAGAGCACAGTATGTATGGGAAAATGTACTTTAGCCTGACCTCAATTTGTGCCCTGTATAGGGCTCCTACTTAGGGAAAGCTTGAGCATTCACCAGTATACAGAATAGCCTCCTTATAGGAGATTGCTATTAAAGGAATCCTTTAATAGCAATCCCTATATACATATAATCGTGCCCCGCTTAACGATTACCCCATATAATGACGAATCCGCTTCACAATGATGTTTTTGCTATCACAACTGCGATCGCAGTTTTAATGGGGTTTTTTTGCTTTGCGACGATCGGTTCCCTGCTTCGGGAACCGATTCTTCGCATTATGACGATCAAAACAGCGGATCGTCGGGTTTTCAAAATGGCTGCTGGCTGCTAATAACGGCTCCCCGCTGTTTTTAGGAGGCATTTTTAGCAAGACAGGCAATCGAAAATGGCCACCGTATGAAGGATCTTCGCTAGACGATTAGGTATTTCGCCCATTGGAACGCATTAACCGGTTTTTGATGCGTTTCAATGGGTTTTTTATTTCGTTTGATGCCGTTTTTGCTCTACAGCGATTTTGCTGGAATGAATTAACGTTGTCAAGCGAGACACCACTGTACATACATACATATACACACAAACACACAAAACAGTTAAGGATTGTTTTTCCTATACACTGCATTCATATCAGGAAATGTCTGGGAAACCCCAGAGTGATTCAGTTTGAATATAGCATATATTCATACTTCCTTGAACTATGCACCAGTGTTTCAAAGCATAGCTATAATTTATGGCCAACAAGGATTTCTGTATCAGGTTGAAGGAATCGAGTAACACCTGATTCATACATGTAGCCTAAAATGGTTTTGCTGACAATTTACTGAGTTTAGTGGGCAGACATAGTGTTTCATTTGATGATTAATTCCAGCAGGTAATAATTGTATGTGAAATTCACTCTCACTGAATCCTGAAAGCAGAAGGGCTCTTTATATATTTTAGTTATAGTCCCAAATATCATTTTTTTTCAACTCTACATCATCATGCTGATAGTATTGAAAAAAGCCTGATATTAGACACATAACTGGATGACAGTAGCAATTTACAGTATATACAAGTGCTTGCCTATGTGATATGCAATGTATATATAATCACATAAAGGTATATCTATTAATAATCAAATCCTACTAGAGAGTGCAGAATGTTTTCAGAGAGGCTATCATTCTGTATTACACAATATAAATCTTCAAAATCAATTCCAGCATTATGATCTATGTTTTTTAGCTATTTTATTGTGTAACTGAGGATTTTCTCAGCAGACACACACATCACTCCCAATACTACTAATCTGAACAGGGTCTTTAAAAAGCATTGGCCCAAACTTGCACTTTAGGGTAGGGAAGATATTGTCTGATTGCGATTCGTTCTTCCTTTAATCTCAAATTTCACGAGACTCTAAAAAACCCTTTCCTCTTCCACAAGGAAAGGTGGCAACATTTTAGGATGCTCAGCATGGAAAAATGATGAGTAAGTAGAGACTTAATAGAACTGCATAAAATGCATGACAGAAGGATAAGGTTTCGTCCCTTTCTCTTTAAAAGGATCATCCACTGAAGCTAAATGGTAGGAGATCTTGTGAGAATTCATTCCAACAAGATGTACTGATGGCTGCCAACCTAAATAGCTTTACAAGGGGACTGGAGAAACTCATGGAAGGTAAACTCATGAAAGATCAAAGGTTGGCTATATATCATGCCCAGTAACAGAGATGGTATGTCTCTGCCTATCAGTTTCTGAGGAATGTGAGATGGAATAGTCCAGTTCCACTCAGATCCAGCTGGTGGTTTTTTCTGAGGAAATTGGCTGGTAAGTGTGAACACAATGTTGGATCTGATAGGGACTGGAGAAACTCATGGAAGGTAAACTTGTAAAAGATCAAAGGTTGGCTACATATCATGTCCAGTAACAGAGATGGTATGTCTCTGCCGATCAGTTTCTGAGGAATGTGAGATGGATAGTCCAGTTCCACTCAGGTCCAGCTGGTGGGTTTTTCAGAGGAAATTGGCTGGCAATAGTGTGAGCAAAATGTTGGATCAGATGAGAATAACAGAATAACTGAATAAAGGAGTTGGAAGGGGGCTGTAAGGCCACATCCTGCTTAGTGCAGAAATCCCAATGAAAGTGTTTCTGACAGATGATTGTCCATTTTTTTTCTTGAATGCCTCCAGTGCTGGAGTGCTCACCACTAGACATGGGGAGATGAATACAAATATCGGCACACAGGTGCCTGGCAAAACTGGACCCTCCCCCAGAACCAACCAGTCCACTTACTGCTCCCTCTGCAGCGTGCACAGCTGGAATAATTTACGACCCAGAACCAACCAGTCCACTTACTGCTCACTGTGCAGCGTGCACAGCTGGAATAATTTACACCAATCATGGAAATAGTCCACCTGGCACTTGCCCACCTCCTTGTGCTGTTGACCACTATGTCAAGGGGGCAGGATGATGAGTCTCTCCCTACTCAGCATGGGCAGGGAGGAAAGAAAGTGCCCACTTGACTACTGCCATGATTAGTGTGGTGGGAATGACACCCTCCTTGTGCTGTTGACCACTATGTCAAGAGGGTAGGATATGAGTCTCTCTACTCAGCCTGGGCAGGGAGGCAGGAAAGTGGCCACTTGACTGCTGCTATGATTAGTGTGGTGGGAATGACAACAGCTGCATGTGCCACAGGGTGAGCAATAAGTGGACCAGCTGGTTCTGGGGGGAGGGTCCAGTTTCACCAGGCACCTGTGCTGCTGATATCCTTATTCGTCTCCCCTGGGAGAGGAATGCAAATATCCAATGTCTCTGATATCCTTATTCGTCTCCCCTGGGAGAAGAATGCAAATATCCAATGTCTACTCACTACCTCTCAAGGTCATTGGTTCCACTGCTGTATTGCTCTAATAGTTAAGATGTTTTTCTTGACATTTAGCTGAAATCTGGCTTCCTGTGACTTGAGCCAATTACTAGATGCCCTGCACTCTGGGATGATTGAGAACAGATCCTTCCCTTTCTTCACATCACTATCTTTCAAGTATTTGAAAAGTCTTATATCTTCCCTCAGTCTTTTTTTCCCTCAAGGCTAAACATGCCAGTTCTTTCAATCTTTCTTCATAGGTCCTAGTTTCCAGGACCTTGATCATCCTTTGTTGCCCTCCCCTGAACGTGTTCGAGTTTGGTGGCATCCTTCTTGATGTGTGGTGTCCAGAACTGGGTCATACTAATAGTATTCTATTCTCTCTAAAGTGCTCCTCAATAGAGACAACCTAACCATTGCCATCTTTTATCCAATGTCTACTCACTACCTCTCAAGGTCATTGGTTCCACTGCTGTATTGCTCTAATAGTTAAGATGTTTTTCTTGACATTTAGCTGAAATCTGGCTTCCTGTGACTTGAGCCAATTACTAGATGCCCTGCACTCTGGGATGATTGAGAACAGATCCTTCCCTTTCTTCACATCACTATCTTTCAAGTATTTGAAAAGTCTTATATCTTCCCTCAGTCTTTTTTCCCCTCAAGGCTAAACATGCCAGTTCTTTCAATCTTTCTTCATAGGTCCTAGTTTCCAGGACCTTGATCATCCTTTGTTGCCCTCCCCTGAACGTGTTCGAGTTTGGTGGCATCCTTCTTGATGTGTGGTGTCCAGAACTGGGTCATATGCTATTCTCTCTAAAGTGCTCCACAATAGAGACAACCTAACTATTGCCATCTTGTAAAAACAACGAAGAGGAAGCTGCCTTCTTGTCTGTCTATTTGTTGCCATCTTCTCCCTGTACTGAAGCTTACATGCAAGTATTGAACCTACTGGCTACACTACTAGGGATATTCTGGGATCTGTAGTCCAAAAAAGTAACTTTTACAAACTCTGATCCATTGTAAGGAGGGTTACAAACAGAAGGACTGTTTAGCAGTGACCTTAACCCTCCCACTGGTTCTGTAGAGACAAGTTAAAGTCACAGACGCACACTCCCTCAACATGCTTGTAGAGATGTAGACATTTCTTTTTGTCTAAGATATGTACAGGAAACACCTTGCTATTGAGAAGAAATGCTCAGTGCTGTGATTGTGAGTGAAAATCTAATCCACCTGCCTGACAATTTAGCACTTTTCAGAAGATGAAAAAAAAGGTGGCATGAAAACAGAGATAGAAACAAACAAACAAACAAACAACCCCAGTTGCTTCCCCCTTACCTGCTTAAGGATTTCTGCTGCTGTTTCATGTGAGCAATCAAATATCACATAGAACTCTTTGCCTTTCTTCATCTCCTTGAGTAAAGGCCGGGCATCTTTATTCCCAGAGGGTAACTGGCGAATTTTGATTTTAATGTTGTATCTCGAAGGGGCTTTGATGAGTTCTTGAAGGCGAATTAGACCTAGAAAATGGCATCAGATTGTTCAAATGACTGCTTGGGGCAATGAATCCTCACTGTCATTTAGACTCAACATTTAATTTCACCATTCTATAATATGCTTCACATTTACCCCATATAAAAACTTAATGTGCTAGCATATCATTTATTAGATCCTTCAGTGGGGGAAATTTAAGGAGTTATTTCTCCCTTTATGGGCACATTTACCAAGGAAACATACAGACCTCACATATGTTTAAAGATTTTTCAGCATGGAATTCTCTTCCTGCTCCCCACTCCGCCTTGCCTCAGATTACAGCTACTGTATCATTATGAAAAGGGTCATACAGTGTGAATATTGTGGTAAATCTGACTTTCAAAAAAAAACAAACCTCAAATCAGTACACAATGAAACAATAAAGTAAGTCAATCAAAGACTTCATATATTATTTCTCATAGAAAATCTACTAAAAACTGACTGTTGTGGTGGTTGGAAGTAACCAGGCATTTTTCAGGCAGTGTCTATTTGAGCAGGAAGGTGAGAGATGCTGCCACATAGGGGTGTAAAGGCAGCCCAAATTCAACAGCCAGTGTTGAGACAGGAAACACAGAAATAGGATGGACTCAATGCAGGTCACAATCCAGCAACAGGTGGGCATGTTAGATCGGTGGGCACAGTATCTATGAAAAAGGCATATCAGAATCATGAGGAAGGGATATGGAATGAGACATAAAGCAGGGAGCAGAGGAAAAGGAAGAAAGAGAACCAAGTCATAACCTGGATTTTTCCCCCAAAAAAGTACAAGAAGTTCCAAAAAGGAACTTCTTGTACTACTTGTTCTTTTGCAGCAGCCAGATGTTCACTGATTACATCATTGTATAATGCATCATTAATGGACTGCATCCATCATTAAAAGCACATGATAAAAATGCAAGGGAATACTCTCCAATTCTCTCTTTTAACCAATTCTGATATTATATCTGGGATCATATACGTAGTTAGTTCTTCCAGTGCTACATAGGCTGCCTCTTCTGGCAAGAGAAACGGTGAGGAATTGAACTCTGATCTCTAGCTGACTGCGCTATCCTGCCAACAACATGGAGTTAAACGTACTTGAGATATGGTAGTGACGGAACGATACAGGCAGAACCAGTCAAGTGCTGCAGAATTAAAAGGTAGACTAAAAAGGTAGATCTCTCTGACTTTCCAGTAAATTTGTGGCATGGCCCTATACATGTGTGCTCAGAAGTAAACCCTATTGTATTCTAAGAGGTTTACTCTGTAGTAAACATGTTTCTGATTACATCCCAAACTGCATCTGAAGCATAGGTGGGAGATAAGTTTGCCAGTATCTATAAAAATAAAAGAGAACACATGTGTTTTCACCATAAATCCAAAAAAGTGAAATTTTGACATCTAAGATGCAATATGGATACAAAGGAGATCCCGGAAGAAGAACTAATCATGTACAGTATTTCATTTTATCTTTAGAACAGGAGCCATTAATTTTAGTTAATCAAAATCTGTCTTGAGCCTGCAGCACTATGCTTAGCCACTAGGTGCCAGCTTTTCCTGACCAGGGAAGACAAAACGTGGAGATACTGTGTGGGGTGTATTTTTCCAAAAAGGTCTATTATAGTGCCTCCAAATCCTCGACAGAGCGGGGGGGAGGGCTGCTGCATAGTGAGTGTTAGAGGGGAGAGTGAGTAGCAGAAAAGAATTGGGGTGGGAAAAGAGAAAAACTAGCTAGGAAAAAGAAGAAGAAAGGGTAAGAGAAGAATCTCATTGGCTATATTTCCCCATATAATCCTCTTCAGATTTTAAGATTATCTGAGAAGGCCCTTCTCTCATTCCTATCCCACCTCCCAGTTGGGGAAGATCCTCCCCCATGAAGCTAGGCTGATTTCCACTCTTTTTGGCAACAAATGAAAACATTTTCATTCCTACAGGCTTTTGGACTTTTAAATCTGATTTTAACACAGCTAGTTGTCCTATGTTCACTGTTAATATGTCCTTTTAATGTTTTGAAATGTTTTTATATGATGATTTTAATGATACTTTCTTTAATAATTTTTAAGTTGTTTATATGTTGTTTTTAATTTTGGGGTTTTTTTTTAACTTTAGTTTAGTTTAGTTTTTTATGATTTGTGAGCCACTTTGAGTTCCACTGTTGGAAGAACGGTGGCACATAAGCACAATAAATAAATAAGAAACAGATAAGAAGAAAAGGAAAGATACCAAGCACCCAAGTTGGCAGAAGGAGTGTGGTTTCTAACTCACATGAATCTGGGGCTCCTGCTAGTTTCAAATATACAAGACTGCTTATTGTCTACTTAGTTCAATAGCTATATGCAATCCTCAACCTACAAAAAAGGCATGTGTGCTTTCTCACCAATTACATATGAAATTTCCCCCCCTTCATATACACATAGAGACATGGACACAAGCCTCAGGTGTTTTCCAACTAAGCCAAAAGAAAACAGGCTTTAAAAAAAGATTCTGAATTAAATGTAGACTCACTTTTAAGCAAACAAACCTAAGCCCTCTAACAATATTGCAATCACAAGAGCAAAGCCTGAGCAGGCTAGTGTGACAGAGCAGTTGAACTTACTTAGCATATCTGGCACAAAAACTGCACTGCTACTTTCTTTCTTTCTTTGTATCAAAGCACTGCACACTTTAAAATCATGGACATATATGAGATATATATAAGACTCAAACAAATTAAGGGTGTTAAAATGATTAGACTATTTTGGGGCACACTATTTCAATAGTGTTATCTCGGCCATTTGCTAGATCTTCTTTTGTAAACACTGTGGAGCGTAAATTGCATGCACATAAGTGCTGCATTGACTGAATTTCTCCACAGTCATAGATAATTTATCTTGCATCCTAGTAGCCCCATTTTACTTGCTTTTTCTTCTATCTTCCCACTTTGCTTCTAAGTCTGTTAAGTGACTTCCAGGTGATCCAACTTCAGTCTGGTCCTGATGAAAGGCACTCTTTGGCCTTCATTCCTTTGGTGTGTAGTTTTGGCTCTCCATAGGTTTAGCCCAGTCCCTTCTGCTTTAATATTTAGAGCTTGGGGGATGCAGAAAACTTGGGGGACATAGAATATGCCTCCCTGAAGAGTGGAAAGCATTGCGAGTGTACTCGGGCATCCCTTGGGCAACGGTGTGCAGCCAGCTAATCCTTCGTATCCAGAAGGAAACTGAAGAATAAAGCAGCATAAAGTATCACCCTATTTTCTCTGATGTGAAGCTATTGGCTTTTGCTTGAGGCTTCACATTGCACTGGGAAAACTGACTTTCTTCTTTGGTAGACTGATTATCCCCTTCCAGTTTTAAGCACCCGTGAACTAATACAGAATACGAACCATTATGAGTATTGGAGTGAAAATTGTGGCAGCACTCTACAAAGCACATTCTGGCTGGAATCTCAAATGACCACATTCAAGTCCATGGGCTTCCTGAAAGGACTGTTTTATTCAGCTGATGAGAAAGGGAATATATGCAAGTTGGCTGTAAATCCACAGCTTGGCTGTGTTACGCACCATAGAACCCTCTTGCCAAAGGTGCTTCTTCAGCCACTGTGACATAAGTTACATTAACAGAGAAAAATGGAGCTCCAGGCACAATAATTTCAGGTGTAATTTCCGTTTACTGATAAGAACTCCTTGGCTCAAAATGATTCCTTTGTCAAACGGTGTCCTACAGCAAGAGAAAGTTCACACTGCAGCCGCTGGTACGTTAGTTGGAGAAAATGGAGTTGATTAAGGGGAATGTCTGACCTACAATGGATAGTCTGAAAACACATGCCACTTTCCTCATGTCTGTAAATAAGGAAAAGGAGAAGAATACACCCCTTGAAGAAAAGTTGGAAAAACAGATTCTTTTAGTCTCTCTTTTTTTCACTCTCCTGTCCAACACCTTGAAGATGAAAACACTGAGGATCAAACCACACATCGCTTTTAAGTGCAGCTACAGCTGATCTTTTTCTTTATTCAAAACCAAGCACAAGAAAATTGATCTAGATCAGGAACCATGTGTGTGAATAGGTATTTTAACACTTTGTCCCTACAGCAGTCCTGAGTCAGGTTGGTGGTCTCAAACTTACAATTTGCATGGGAAAAAAAATAACATCCATTCACTTCATTTCATGTCAGCAGAGGTTTTTTTTTTCTAAGCATATTGGAGACACCGTGGTTTGGGACCAAAACAGTAGCAGCCATACAGAACAGGCTTTTTACCAGCCAACATTATAAGAAAATGCAAAATAACTTTAAAATGGTGGGTGAAATGGTGGTAGGCTAAGTGACAAAAAGCGGACTGACTGCTCCCCACAGATATACTGTAGATTGAGAACTCTTGGTGGGGGAGGGGGAGAGGGAATGGAGTGGAGTATCCTGGGCACATACAATTTATTAGAATATGACACAGCAACATTTTGTTGCAAATTATACTTGTTCAGTAAAAGACAATAAAATATTTTTAAACACTTGATGATGTTTACCTGTACTGTCTTCGTACACAACTGTTATAACCTTCCAGTTGTAATGGAGCACCAAGTCCAACACTGCCCTACTGATGGCTGCATAGTCTGGGTAGAGGTTGATGTAAAAGGAATCTTTATTATCCACTGTCGGATGTTTCCATCGGGTCTGTATATGTGGAACTTCAAGTGCATTGCAAATCGATTGTACTGCACTGACTGAGGAGCTGTGGGATGGTCCGAATAACGCAGCGACCCCAAGAGCAAGCTGGTCACATGCTGTGAGAGGGAGAGAAGAGAGGGAGAGAGAATTGTGATGTCTAAGATCCATTTTTCTCTTCTCTTACATCTTCTAAGCTGAGAAATGCAACAGAATGAATGACTAAAATGGTGGAAGGAGGTGCATATGCACTTGGGAAGGAGACCTGAGCACCAAAACAGTATTAGTATTTTCAGCCATACAAATGTGATGCCACTTGTTTACAAAAATCTATGTTTTACATTCAAAAATGGCTCCCTTTTATTACCTTCAAATAGGGATTTATATAGCTTTAAATCCCTCAGTTGGGATGGTGAGACATTCAGCAACCCCACAGCTATTTGATCAGCATAAACTGAAAGCCTTCTGTAGTGTGATTCATGGCAGAATGAACATAAATGTATAACATTTCATTGCAACAGGCAATATACGGATTTTCAAGCTACCCTTAAAACTGCTCCCCAGGGTTATCGTCATTCATTAATTTCAGGCCAAACATTCAGAGAGGATAAAGGATACTATAACTGATAGTGACAGTTTCCAAGTTGCAAGGCCTATACATGTTATATGGACCTTTGATGAAAATAAACGGGAGATTTGTGAATTATACAAATGCCAATATTAATTATGCATTGGATAATTTTAAATAAACTGCTATAAGTGCAATAATTTTAATTTAAAATGGCACTGTATACATTGGATCAATGAGAAAACTATATTGCTGATGCTGAAAGAAAGACTTAATCCATTTTATTATTCTGGAACTAACACATATGACTTTATTTGCATTTGCTGCTTCTTTAATGATCAAGTATAATTTCTTAAAGAGCAAAGGAGAGAAACTGTTTGTAATGTTTATTGAAATATCTAAATATTAATTCCAGTAGCCCAGACATACTTCAAACACAGTATCAGAACACTTAAAGGCATCTTTGTCACATTAAGGTGGAGTGGATTCAAAGAGAAAGAGAGGGTACATAGATTTCCACAAACACTGTATGAAGTAAGAAAACAAAAATTGCTAAAACACAGAGCCAGGGAAAATGTACTGATAATATCATTCTAACCTAATATATTAATATTAAAGTAATAATACACAACTATGAGGTGGGGCTATAAATCTCTCTCTACCCAATAACATTTGAAAAGGGGGAGGGGGGAAATCAATACACTTTGAGTTTTATTTACTGTGTGGAAATGACCTTCCCTTCATGTCTTCTCCCATCCCCAGTGAATACCCCTTCCCCCTCAAGCTGAAATAAACACCTCCCTGCATAGTTTCCACCTGGTGCCCTATCCTCTCCCTATTTCTCCACCCTCACCTTTTCACTCCTCTTGCCTTCCTCCTCCCTTCTAAGGTGCCCTCTCCCTTCACTGCACCACCATCACCACACCTGGAAGTGTGAGAGACACAGGCAGAGTGAAAGGCACTGCTACCGTTGTTACAACAACTCTTCAATTCTGCCACCATCTTGGGCATCAGCATTCCTTATTTAGGCCTATTCAGACCTTTTTGAGCAGAGCTAATGCTCTAGTCTGAAGGGCTGATATCAGTCCTCCAAAAGTAGATGTGGAAGAGCAGAGAGAAACAAGCAAGAGCAGCTCTTTCGAATGGGATAGGAATGATGTGCATGAATAAAGGAAAATTCACTTAAAGGAGTACAGAAATAACTAAGAACTCTAGGATGCCTGCAATTTTGGTTCAGATTAAAATTATCTGTCTGTGGACCAAGAGGATTAAAATACCACATTAATATAATAAATATAAAAATAATTGCAACTAAACATAACTGTGGTGACCCTCCCTGAAAACACTTTGTGACACACACCCCTTGGGGGTCATGAACCCCAGATTTGAAATCGGTGAATTCAATGCAGAGGAAGAATTTGTGTGATTGTACATCACAACTTAATTGCAACTCTAAATGTATCACACTTCTCCACAGCTTCCTGAAGTTGAAAAATCAGCAGTACTGTAAATAAGTATGGAACTGCAACCTAGGTATGTGTTGGATAATCTGTCAGCCTCTACCTGTAGCAGCTGAAACTATAGTCACAGAATGTTGAGTGAAATGCTCTGCCTGTAGCAGCTGAAACTATAGTCACAGAATGTTAATTGAGTGAAATAAGTGGATTTTCAGTTGTCTGTCAGGATCTGGTACCTTGTCTGTTTAAGAGTATTAAAAGTACAGAATGTTACCTAAAAATTCCCCTAAAAGTGTACTACTTTTAACCTTGTAGCATGAAAATATGTTTATGGCAATCAGCTTCAGCAAAGCAAGGTCAGCAGCTGAAACTATAGTCACAGAATGTTAATTGAGTGAAATAAGTGGATTTTCAGTTGTCTGTCAGGATCTGGTACCTTGTCTGTTTAAGAGTATTAAAAGTACAGAATGTTACCTAAAAATTCCCCTAAAAGTGTACTACTTTTAACCTTGTAGCATGAAAATATGTTTATGGCAATCAGCTTCAGCAAAGCAAGGTCACTGAGATCATAACAGCTCTTTGGCAACCACCTGTTTTGTTTTGTGTTCCAAGATATAAAAATGAGATATGAAAATAATAAATAAACACATAACAGCTGCAAATAATTGTTTTGAAAAAGTATGATGTATGTTTGCTAATACTTTTGCCTTGAAGCAAAATTTATGGCTGGCAAGCAGAATATGTAGACAAGGCCATTGAAAAGTCATCACTACTTTACAATACTGTACAATGCAAAGTATAAATGCTGCTTCCTAACAGAATAGATAACCACAACCTAAAATATAAATAACTGGTGATTTCTCACATCTGGATCCATGAGGAGCAGCAGTTGTGAGACACATCTTATCTACTGAGTTTGGTAAGTCATAGGCACCAAAAATCAACAATGAGATTTCCTCTTTAGATTGGGTGAGATCTGCTTAGAAGTTTTTTCCTAAACATGCTTAGAGCTAAATAATGTGTTTTTAACTTTTAAAATGTTTAAAAACGTTCCATATACTTCCAAACACTTACATTGCTTTTTGCTTCTTACAATTTTATTCTTACAAATGTTGGTATATTCTCTACCTTTATAGGCTATAAGCTCTTGTATTTTTAAGAACGTAACTTAAAACATTCTTTCTGCTATCATTTGCAATTTGTTCTATATTCTGATGTACTGTATTTGCTTACAACTCAAGTTTTAATAGCTGCCTCTTTTTACAAGTTGTAAGGATGGATATTAAATTATGTGCCTATAGTTTTATATAACTGTATGATGTTTGGATTTTAAATTATGTGCCCACAGTTTTTCTGGAAGATGTTTGGAAGTTATAATGACTCTGAAGTAATTTTATATAATGAAATCTAGAACCAATGTAGCTAAATAAAACTTAAAATTATGACAAGTTGGAGTTGCCTGGAGTTATTGCAACAAGGAAAATACTGATACTGAGATATCCAGATGAATTTTGAAATGCTTGCCAATGATTGTCTTATTTAATTCTGGAATTAACCCTTTACTGGTTCACAAATCTGGTGGCAAAGGCTTCTGGGAGTTTAAGTCCAAGAACAGCTAGGGACCAGAAAATAGTTGCAAACCACTGCTCTGCATCAGTGGTCCCCAACCTTTTCTGAGTTGCAGACTACTTGTGGGGGTGGGGTCTGTTTGTGGGGGTGTGGGGCACCCCGTCACTCACAGGTGGGCGGGGCACGCTCACAGAGGGGCAGGCCATGCTCATGTGCATGGGCAAAGGGTTGGAGTGCACTCGCGGAGAAGTAGGCGTGAATGGGTAGAACACACACTCATGCACGAAGGGCAGGGCATACTTGCTGGTCGGTGGAGCGTGCTCACATGCATGCATGAAGGGGAGGGGCACTCTTGTGGAGAGGAGAAGCATGCTCTCAGGTGGGCAGGGCACCCGTGCGTGCAGGTGGCGGGCCATGTGTGCGGGTGGGGTAGGTGAGGGAGTGCATGTGTGGGGTGACTGGGAGATCTGTCTCTGTGGCCTAATCCTGCCATGGCCACAGACCGGCATTGGGCCATGGACCAGGGGTTGGGGACTCCTGCTTTACATAATAACATTCACAAAAATGAATATCTCCTTGCAAGGAGATTATACTGTACCCTTAGAATGGAAGTGCAGAAGGAGGAGGTGAAAAGCAAGAGTTAGCAAAGGATGTGGAGTACAACATGGCCATCATAAAGTAGTTATATCCTGTTCTTGTAGAATTAAAATTTTTTTACAGCTATTTAATAAATTGTACCCCAGGATACTAGACAAACAGGCATCTAATTCATTCATCTTTGTTTAAAACAACAGTGCATGTCTGACACATTGTCTTATCTACATGAAGACTAGAAGCCTGCCTCATCTGTCCCCACTTGGGACACTTGGTTTTTCTTAGGCACAGCTAGTCATTCGACTCTTCACGTTCTACTTGACATACATCATATAAATGGAAATTTATCTCATGGTCTTTTGCAATAAGGACTGATAACATTTTTTCTTCGTTTTTTAAAAAATTAATGGAACTACATGTGGCACTGAAGCTATAAATTACTAAGAAAAAAAATCAAGATGTGATTTGCAAATTTATTTGCCAAATAATAATCTCTCATTTCTAAAATTCTGAGTATCAAACAGTTTTAAAAGCAATGAAATTTATTAACAAGTCTGCCATGCTGCTGCTGACATTATTATTTAGATCTTACAATAAGGCAGTATACCATTCTACACTGCAAATGCCAATGTTCAATTTTCTTCTCTATTACCTTTTAACATAAACATTATTTTGGACTGTGGGGCGGAAAACATCTCTAGATTAAATCCCATGACATTCCTTCCTAATGTAGCTGTAGTGAAATAAATGAAATACAGGTTCGTTGTGACAGAAAAGTGCCACTGATTTCTAGGGAGCTACTCTAGATAGGACTAAAATTGGATTTAATCCGCTAATTTTAAGGCCATATACCATTACAAGTGGTGCTGCCAGAAATAAGGTTCCATAGTAACAAAAGAGAGCAGGTTCTGAGTGCATTTTATCTATACTTTTCATTGGTCAGAAGGGCTTGCTTAAAATATTTTACAAGAACTCCCGCTCGGTGAGGTAGGAGTAAACACAAGGTTAATAATCAGTCTGCTCTCTTAAAATGTTGACAGTATGTCTGTAATATACATCAATACACACAATCCTTTAAGAATGCTTATAAATTAACCTTTGAAATACTAAATAGCCCACACTATAGACAACCCACTAATTTTCAAACAGGGAAAAGGTAATAGTTTGATTTTCTTTCATATTCTCTTAGTATCACTGAGCTAAATATTAGCAAAGAAGATCAGCTCAGTGTTGTTCTCTGGATATTTCAATATTGCGGCCAATTACCGCCATTTCAAATCTTATATGAAGCAAAGAAACGACTCACTTCACAGTTGAAGAAATATGATCTGGTCAGAGATTACAATGGTGAAAACCTAGCCTATCTAACACTCCCTTAGCTAAATTGAGCCTCAGGCTATGAAATTAACAAGCACAAGTAAAGAGAGCAACTTCACAGACAATGGGCAGAACTATAAGGAGCCATTAAAATGCTGAGCTAGTTACCTCGTCTTGAGGCTTCAAAGCTATCAAAGAGGTTAATTCTCTGGATGTCATAGGTTAATGTGGTATTAGGCATCAGTGTTCTATTTCTGTTAATGTTGGTGACTGCAAACTTGAATGCTAATTCTTCAATATTAAGAGGTTCGTTTTCCACAGTTTCAAATATTCCTCCTGCAAAAGGGAAGAGAAAAGAGATATTGGAAAGTTAGTGAAAAATGGTCACAGGTTAAATTAATACTTAACAAGCTTCTAAAAAATCTAATTACAATATATTTTGAAAAGAGGAGTTTAAAATTTATGTTACATTATTACTAAAAGTTTTACCAGAATAAAGGGGAAAATGTCAACTTGAATTTACACCTCCCCTTCCCTGTTTTGAATTTTGGAAAGAAGGAAATAAGCTGCAAGGGTTATTGAAAATCCAGTTTCATACTCCAACCTTTCTACTTGCTTTCCCTTTCACTCTTTTTATACTCTCATCTCCTTACCCCTTACACTTTCTTTAGCTTACCATACAACTCTCAGTTAGGTTGGGCAATGCAGACCTTGCAGTGGAAGGGAAGAAAGGGGATTAAGTGGTCCAGGTTATCCCAGCCGTGCCTATACAGTGCCTATTACCCCTTACACTTTCTTTAGCTTACCATACAACTCTCAGTTAGGTTGGGCAATGCAGACCTTGCAGTGGAAGGGAAGAAAGGGGATTAAGTGGTCCAGGTTATAATCCCAGCCGTGCCTATACATGAAAATAGTGAACTCCTTCTGACTACCCTATGCCTAGGAAAACCTGGAAAGAGTCACCATAATTCAGAAACTGATTTGAAGGCATGTTGTTATGGGGTTGTGGTTGTACAGTTCATTGGTTATCCTGTCACTTAGCAGTAGCTTTCTTTCCCTGTAGTCTCCCATATTTGACTAAATTATTACAGGAAAAATGTTGATGCAAAATCCTTAAGCTAAACAATAATCCAATTTCCCAATTACACTAGAAAAATTAAAATTATTAATTATTATTTTCATTTGTATTCTGTTCTTCAGTTTGAAGACACTCAGAATGGCATGCATGAGAATACAAACATAAAAGTTAAGTAGCAAAAAATTTCATATTGATTATAAAAATCAAAATACCTTACATTCCCTCCCAAATGCCTTTAGAGATGTCATACCTCACAGGGATTCAGAAAGAGGATTCCATAGCATAGGGACAGCAACAAGAAAATATATTTTCCTAATATATTCAACCCAAAAAGTAATTATGGATGACCTCAAATCAGCACAAGGCTCATATGGGAAGAGGTGGTCCAGTGGGTATATGGAACTCAAGCCATGTAGGGCTTTAGCGATATTAACCAACATGTTTAATTGAACTTGTGAAACCACTGGCAGACAACACAGCTGGCAAAGTATAGGTATCATATGTTTATGATAGGAGCTTTCACAGCTCTTTCAGAAATAAAACCCAGATTGGAAATGGGGCTGGTATTTAATGTCTGCAGTTTGTTGCTGTTTTTCACAGAGGCTTTTCCGTGCTGTGTGTACTTGCAAGGATTCTGTACTAAACACACTTTTGCTTTTCATAGGTTAAAAATCACCAACATGGCATTTCTTCCTCCTTTCTGGTGTACNCTGGTCTATGTGACCACTCTGAGCGGCTCACCTTTTCAGCAACTAAGTAAAATATCAATAACTGTTGTGGGAATATTTATAAGGTTCTACTGGTTCTTTGGTTGACTTCTGCTTAGATTTCCCCTGTAGTACCTCATTTGGAATACAGTACCAGCTACTGGATTATGCAGTGAAATTAATGTCAGTCAAATCTGCTTTTTAATGTACATCACATTTTGCTCTCATCAGTTTTTCCATGATCTCTGGAAGATTTATATCTACCTATTCCTTCCAGCCATCAAGAACCATTTGACAGCTCTGCTGTCATTCTGTGCACAAACCAAGTACTTTCTGTTCCTACTATCCACCCTCACCCTGCCCAACTGTGTTGAAAAGCACTTCTAGGCAGTAGAGCCCTGCTTTCCCTATAAACTCAATTAATATAGACTACCTAAACAACCTGCCAGACTAAACACCTACAAGCCCTTCAACTGTTATGATTTATTGGCTGTGTTCTGGTGTGGCTTATAATGAAGTGAGCCTATCCCGGTTGTATATTCTTTGCTGTCTCTCTCCTCCAGTGAGCCCATGAAGATGAAAAACTTCCATGATTGTTTTCGATTAAACAATGTTGAGTGTGTCATCCAAAAGCTAAACAGGGGTCTATCTTAACTATGGTTTGTTGAAATAAGCAAGTTTCATAATTCATGGTTTGAAGTTGTCTTGTTTGAAATAAATAATGGCTAATGGTGACAATATTCTGGTGTCTGGATATTGTGTCATGTTGTGGTTAATTTTAAAAAAGCTTTAAAGCTTCTGCTCGAAGTTCTATTGGGGGAACTAAGAAGACTGAAAACTTGAAGTCTCTGCAGTTAAACCTCTGCTATGAACATCGTTCTGATTTTTTGGGGCCAGTTTGAAACAACTTCGTTCATACCAATCTCTAGTCCTTTAAAATCCACTAAACTAAAACACTACTTTTATTCTACCACTTCCACTTTGCTCTTGCTTCCATCCTGTGACCTATGTACCTAGACTATTAATTTTCAGTTATTTAAAAAACTGAACACAAAGAACACTTTAGGAGCTTTCTTGCAGAAAGAAATATGTTTCTAGTATTTTTCTATATGGATAACAAATTGCTCTTCTGTTCCAATATTTACTCAATATTTCACAAATTTGTGGATCCTAATGCCTCAACTGACTGTGAAATAGAGGGGTAAAGTGCCAGCCTTGATGGAGAACCCATAAAATGCCCCCATAAAACAAGGTATTCTGCATTTAGGTAAACATAATTAGTGTACATTAGAAATTAATTAGCAATAGCAAACAGTACTAAACTCAACCGATATAGAAAGGATAAAGGAATAAATCCTTAAATGTATGAAGGAACTCTGAAAGTGGAAGACAGGGCAGATCTTCTGAAGAATGTGCTCTATGATGAAAAAAATAAAAATAAAGCTAAGCCCTAAGTCTCCTAATTCATTGCCTTGAAATAAAATGATACGTCTCTTCCACTGCCCCATTTTGCCAAAAATCAGAAGACTGAAATCCTACCAGAACAATGTCCAGTTCCTATACATAATTACTCATATACCCCACTGAATAAAAACACAGATATCTTAAAGTGCAAACAGGAGTACACTCAAGATTGCTGTTGTTACATGCCACCAAGTCACCTCTGACTCATGGCAACACTATGAATGAGCAATCTCCAAATTGTTCTGTTCTCAACTGTCCTGCTCAGCTCTTGGAAACTCAACCCACTGGCTTCTTTTAGTGAATCAGACCAGCTCATTATTGGTGTTCCTCTTTTCCTGTTGCCTTCAGCCTTCTCTAGCATTATTGTCTTCTCCAGAAAATCTTGCTTTCTCATGACGTGCACAAAGTGTCTTAAAGTGCAAACAGGAGTACACTCAAGATTGCTGTTGTTACATGCCACCAAGTCACCTCTGACTCATGGCAACACTATGAATGAGCAATCTCCAAATTGTTCTGTTCTCAACTGTCCTGCTCAGCTCTTGGAAACTCAACCCACTGGCTTCTTTTAGTGAATCAGACCTGCTCATTATTGGTGTTCCTCTTTTCCTGTTGCCTTCAGCCTTCTCTAGCATTATTGTCTTCTCCAGAAAATCTTGCTTTCTCATGACGTGCACAAAGTGGGAAAAGCCTCAGCTTCAATAATTTTAGTCTCCAGAGGTAGCTCAGGATTGATTTAAATATTCAAGGTTATGCACGGAATATTCATAAACACAATATTGGAAACAAATAAGCACTGTGGTACCTGAAATACTAATGGATTTTATTTGTCATAAGCTACAGATTTGTCATAAACTGCACTCAAATGTATGGAATGCAGCTTCAATAAGCAGACATTTGAATACACACATGGTGCATTGGATGAAGTGGGCTGTACTCCATGAACATTTATGTCAAATGAAATATGTTAGTCTTTAAGGTACCATAATGCTTACAATTGTGATTAGTATTCATGTGCATCAATCATCTAAGCATAAACTCGAGTATTACCTGACAATGTATCTTGAAATACAAAATACCTTTGGAAATTTATAGTGAGCACTTAGTTCCTCAAATCCAATTTCTACTTCAAAATAAAACAAAACAGAGTGTATAAAATGCATTTGGGTGCAAAAAGGAAAGAAGAGAGTGGTCTGGAGTATATAAAGCAATTTTATGGGGTTAACTCTTACATAAGTTACCAATGTTAACTCTTGGAAACCCTCTTCTTGGGATTGTTTCTTTATTTAATACAAGTTAAATTACTAAGAAGTATTCTTAGCAAGGCTTTTGTTTGTTTGTCTGTCAACCACGAAGGAAATCTACAAAGGATATGAAAATACTCATATTCTTGCCCTATAAAAGAGATATTTGACAAACATTTTGCATTTCAGTTGCATTAAGTGGACAAACATAGATATATCCCTGGACATTATAGCCAGAACCACTGTCACAGGATATTAACAGTGACCCTGTGATCAAGTTAATATTTCAGTCATATGTCTTCTAGTTATAACTCCTGAGCAGATAGAATCAGAGAACTGGGAAAGACTTGAAGGTGACCTCATGCAAAGGCTGTGCTGAAACAGGATGTTCTCGATGCAAGCCTTTCTAACCAATGCAACCACATCAATTAATTACATAGATTCGTGTCAGATTTCCCTGTTGAAAGAGTGAGAGAGGAGACATCAGGAATTAATGTAATGTACGAAATACTGTAAAGATTTACTGAGGTCCTCCACTCATCCTATATGAAGCTGTTCAAATGTATGTTACAGTGGGGTCTTGACTTAAGAATGGCTTGAGTTAAGAACATTTTGACTTAAGAACCACTCTCATAGGAAAATATTGTCTTGACTTAAGTACTTAGATTTGAGTTAAGAACTGAAAAAAAACCACGTGGGAGGCAGGGAAAGTGCAAAATGTGAACTTTCAGTTAACTGTTGGCCAGTGAAAAGGGTGCCTGTCTGCTTCCTCACTCCTCCCATTGTTTAGAGAGTGGACTGGGAGACAGTCTTCGGACTGCCTGGTACTGTACTGCCTGGACTGTA